CTTCTCGAGACTCTCCGGCGAGCGCGAGACGATGGCCGCGTCGTCAGCGTAGAGCATGGCCCATAAGGCCTCCGCGTCCGTCACCGCCGCCGTCTTCTTCCCCGCCGACCTGCCCTTCTTGCCCGTGTACTCCACTTGTGTCCCGATCTTGACCATGTCCGCCGTCACCTTGGGGTCCTTGTCGAACTCGGCCACGGCGACCATGAGCATCGCGGTAAAGAACAAGTTGAACAGCAGCGGGGCAAGGTTGCATCCCTGTCGGAGGCCTTGGCCCACGTCGAACCATTCCGAGTACTGCCCGTCGTCCGTTCGGACGCGCGCCCTCATGCCCTCGTGGAAGTGGCGAATGACCGCCAGCATCTTCGGGGGCACGCCGAAGCGTCGGAGCACGTCCCACAGTAGGTCTCGGTCCACCGAATCGTATGCCTTGGTGAGGTCGACGAAGCACGCGAACACCGCAGTATTCTTCTTCCTCGCGAGCTCATGGAGCTGCTGGATGGCGAACAGCACGTCGAGCGTGGTGTAGAGGCCTGAACGGCACTTCGTGGTACACAGTTCGAGCCTCTGTTCCGATAATCTTTTTGTCCCTACTTTTTTTTCGCTTTTTCTACTTCTCCTAGCTCGATTTCGGGCGAGAAAAGGGGCCAAAAATAGCGTCTGGATGTCATGCAGAGACGAAACCAACTCCGATGGCACCAAAACTTTGCATAACGTCTGTTCGAGGGTTGCTTGCCACGACACTGAACGAAAAACGAGAAAGAAAACGCTCCCAACCTCTTTGCACGACGCCTAAAGTGGGCCTAATTCGGCCCAAAAATAGGCCAAAAAAAACAAGGGGATTCCTCGTTACTATCCCCGTATTGTGGCATTTTTTTTCTTTCTTTCTCAATGGCTTGGTATTATCATCACCACGGTGCGCGCCAAAGGACAAGTTTTGAAATGCAGTAGAACGCGAGAAATCACTACTAATGCAAAGTGTCCCTTAATTGGCGCCGGGGGTGTTATCCTCCGTTTTACGGTAAAACTTCAGGTACACTGCAACAGCCATAACTCATCAACACTTGGGTGTTTTTTCTTTCTTTTTTGAGAGAGGTAGCCTATGACATAGGCTACCGCTGGATACTTTCATACACTTCAAATTCGTTCTCACACCCGAGAACGAGCTGTGGGCGTGGGAGCGTCTTAGGTGTCCGATAATACCCCGGTTTACTTTTCAGGCTTTACTCAGAACGGCACAAAGTGGAGTCATCGCACAGGGGTGTGCGTCATGTATCGAAACCAAATCATTTAATTCAATTTCCGCACGTCCGGAGTCATCGCACCCCTGTGCGACGAAAACTCAAATGGCGAATATGTTTAAACAACGACCGCACCAGGGTGCGCTAACCCGCAACCTTAAGGTACATTTCGCTTTCACCCGCAAATGTCGTTAATTTTTAATTTTTAACCCCATGGGGATTCGAACTCACGACCTCTGCGACTAGCGGACTACGAGGATACCACCGGGCGCTTCGTACCTACAGGACCTGTCTCTGTCGTCCCTGCCGCAGTTTCCGCGACCTCGTGATCCAGTTCCTGGTGAAGACATGACGATCGAGCCTGGGCTGACGATCGGCCGCCCCACTGCCGCCGCCGTTTGGCGCTTTACCTCTCGCTTCTATGAGATGGTGTGGTGTTGTGAAACGTGCGATAAATCCATATGATCGATGCACAGTCCGCTTTCTGGTACGTATGCATACGTAGGATGCAGATTAGTGGGCCCTGGCTAGCATAGGCCGGGGCCCCCTACGTGCATCCTCTGGCATCCTACGTACGTACTAGGAAGCCGCTCGCTCTTTGTCGCTTGTGCTCTCGCGATTCCACCACAGCCAGGACAGTAGGGCACACAGATAAGCGCGCGGACGGAAGCTGAGGGCGCTTTTGTGGCCGTTGTCAAGGTTCATTGCCAAGAGCTCAACGGAATCGCGAGCGCTGGCACAGACAGGTGGATCGCAGCACTGGCACGTTCCTTTCACATTGGAGAGAGAGAGAGGCGCACGTACTCGAAGTTCGTTCGTTCCCTTCCGCCTGGTGAGGGCTCTTTGCGTACGTAGATACCACTACAGCACAACGATTTTATCCTTTCGTCGCCTTTGCTTTTTATCTTCTAATGCTGCTGGTGTGGGTTTTTGGGTTCCGTCGCGGGCCTCGTAACATGTTTCGGTTCAGTCTCCATTCGTTTCGTCAAACTCTTACACTTACAAAGCGAGGAGGAGAAGAGGAACAGGATCGCACCATGCACATGGGCCTTCAATTGCAGCAGTAGCAGCAGCAGCAGCAGCAGCAGCAGCAGCAGCAGCAGCAGCAGCAGCTACACCCCTGAAAACTTTTTTTTCAGACAGTTAGCATCCTCTTGCTATACATATAACACGCTCTCAACGCTTCCCCACCCCCGTTTCCCCCGTTGTTTTATCCTCCGGAAAGTCAACGCCCTTTCGCAGACCAAACCTGAACTACAACAACATACAGCCGCGGCGGCGGCGGTTAGAAATCGAAACCCTCCGATAGCACACACACCAGCGTCACACACGCTATCAGTCAAAAACAAAGCCGGCAACCGCGCAACGATGAGGGCCGCGGCGCCGGTTGGGGGATCCCCCAAGACCGTGGATCGAGTGCTGGGCGTCTTGGTGGCGGCGTGCGCGTCTGCGCTGTTGGTCGCTCTCGGAGCGAGGGCCGGAGCGCGGGCCGGAGCCTCCTTCACGACGCTGCTGCGCCTGGCGTACCAAGGCAGCAGCACCAGCAGCAAGCGACGGTCTTCCCGAACGGAGGAGGAGGAGGAAGGGGACGCGTACTTCGAGTACGCTCACGGATCGCGGTCTACCGCAGCGGCGAGGGCGAGAGGCGCGGGAGGGGCGGGACGGGGGGGGTTGGTGCTGCACGCGGGGAGTTGCCACTGCGGAGGGCTCGCTTTCGAGGTGGAGGCGCCGGAGCACCTAGCGGCGATAGAGGGGCCGAGCAAGGTGGGGGTGTTGTTGTTGTGGTTGCGTACAGGGCCTTTGCGATGTACCTGTTGTGTGTGTTTTTTATTATACAGGATGGGTGGAAGCTTCGTGGTGTTCATCGTCGTCGTGGTTGACTTTTAGGCAAAGCGCGTTCGGTAAGGTGTTGTCACTGATACGGTAGACCTGATCACTCACACCATACAGCAGTGTGCCGACAGACTGCTGTTATACTACAGCAGCATTTGCAAGTGCTTCCAATCACGGGTGCCCAATGGAAACGACCAGTGTCAGTATCATCACACGTACGTGCTGTTTATGTATCCTGTCGACCAGCTACGCTGTTGGTCACCTCCGTCGTATCGTCCCGCTGGACGAAGAAACAGCAGGTTGTCCATCGCCCATCAGAACTTGGCTCGAAACTAAACGTTCGCCTTCAAGCAGACCTTCGTAAAATATGCTAACGTACAGGCGTCCCTCCTCGTGGGTGCTAAGCTCGCATGCACGACGGTTGCTGTTCTTGCTGTGGATTTCAGGGCAGTCTATGCGAACGGTCATGTTTTTTTCAACAGCCGGCACTCACCACGACCTTCATGTTTTGGTTTTGGTTCGTTTGTTCGCATGGCGGTGCAATAACATAGTAACTCGATGGTAGGTTCAGTCACGCGGAACGGGAACCCGTGTATCTGCTCGTGTAGTTGCTGTACGGAGCGGTGCGTAGAGAGGTAAAAGCTTGTGGTACCCAGGTTTTCACGGGATTGGGCGTCTATCTATCGCCAATTCGGGCGAATGGCTTGTCCGCCGAAAAAAACTTTCTAGACTCTTTTCTTCGACAGGGAATAGAAAGTAAATAAAATCTCACAAAGACTACCCATTCGAGATATAACCTCAGACGAAAGGGATTATTTGGGTCATCCCGACAAAAAAAAATACGAAGACGGTACTCAAACGGAGGTTTGGGCGCATTCATCTTGCGACATACGAAGTACATTGCTCACGAGAAGGCTGCAGGCTGAACAGACCATCGGGTCGGAAGTTCGATGTGAAACATGAACAACCTGTGCACAGCAGTTGCGCCGCCTTTTCTTGCGGTTTCTAGAATACGTAAGCATACCACTGTACCTCATCATCACTTGGTTTGAGAACACTTCCCCTCCTGCCGCCACCTTATTCTAGTTTTAACTCGATGTAAATGACGGCGCCGTCATCTGAAGTCTATTTCCCCGCTTTTGGTGATGCAGCTCGGTTGGCAGCTTTCGACGTTGCAGACTCTCCCCGGATTGGTGCACCGTACATTCATAGTAACCTTCGCAGGATTCTTCGATTTAGTAAACATGTTGGAAGAAGCATGCATTCGGGGAAATCAAGTTAGGGTTAGGATAGGGTCTGCGTACCCCCTCCCTATTCTACTTCCTCATGAACTTATGTTCTCGCGAAAGCGGGTCCGTTCGGTTTGGCGGTGGTGCTCGTGCTGCCCGCAGTTGCGGCAGCTTGCTTGCCTGAGACAACGCTTCCTAGATTCGGAAAGCTTGATTTATGAAAGATTGCCGCAGGAGAAGAGACCGTTCGGTATCGTTTGGGAGGCCTTGCGTCGCAGTATAGCACCCCCCTCTCCCAAGTGAAAGAGTTGCACGGGTTCCGGCTGTGAAGATGGAGGGCTGAACCCGACTTGATGATGGCGTGGGGAACACGTCTCTACCACTGGGAAAAACATTGATGAGTTCGTACGGACTGCGAGGTTTAGGGTGTGGACTATTTGAAAACGTTCGAAGACAACAACAGCATCAACCACAATCAACAACAGCAGCAGCTAGAACACCCGGAAAACTACTGCGGCGTCCGGCAGGGCTCCGATACAATTGCCGCGCGCTTGAGAGATGCACCCTCCGCGGACTCTTCCGGAAATAATTTCTTCGTCTCTTCTCTTGGCGCCCCCGCTTGTTTTCCATTTTTGTGCTCCGATTGTAGGTGCGCTATCCGTTCATCACGGTGCCTGCGGAGCAGTTTCGTCTGACTTCCGACGACACCAACGGTTCGCTCTACCTCCTCCAGTATCGCCCCCCAGCGGGTAGTGACGACACGCCAAAGGTCGGTCCATGTGGACAGGGGTATTCCTGTGGTAGACGAGACAAAGGGGAGGCTGGGCTGGGCGTGGACTGAGACTTGGGAGGCGTGCACGATACGTGCGAAAGCGATAGGCAAGGATCTAGAGGTCGTAGGCACGGCTGCACAAGTCTAGGGAACAGGCGAGCGAAGAAAGAATATGCTGGCTAACCAGACCGTGGTACGTTCGGGACTAAACTATCGCCGACATAACTCGACAACGCTAGATAGTGACACACGTACTCACAACCGTGTCGATCTTGGGTTTGGTCCAATTCTCAGCAGTGCAGCTCTTCATTGCCTTGTTCCCTCATGTCCAATTCTCAGTAGCTCGTCGCAGTCTGATTCAGACACCTCCAATTCTTTGTTTGGGCGGTTTGTGCCGACGGCACAATTCCTAGTTAATAGCGTCGTCGACACCATCTGGTAGTGAGTAAGCTGCTCTTGGGGCTCACCGCATCGTGTACTGCTTCACAGACGCGTGTGGTGAAAGCAGTGTCGTCAAGGTCTACCTTTGGTGTTGTGACAAGGAAACTTGCCTCAGCCCCCCCCATCCACTGTCTTTTTTCTTCGGCCCAACGGGCGTGTGCTCTGTCCACCTTTGTATTGTATTGTACCCATTCGAGCCTCCCACCCCGACCTCCATGCTCACGCCCTTTACACCAGTTCTTTTCATCTGTTCATGCACAAATGTCACCGCCACTTGTTCTCTGCAACCTCCTTGAGTATGATATATACCATCTCATGCGGGCATCCCGATCACTTGTTTTCGTCCGTGCTTGCCTAGGCGTCACTGACCTCGTTCTTCCAGCCCCCGTAGTATATACCATCCCATCCCGATACATCCCCCAATAATTTATTTTCATCTGCGGCTATGTCTCCCTCACTGCACTTGTTCCCACCACCTCCTTTAAGTACACCATCCCGTGCCGGCACCACCCCCCACCCTCGTAACTCGTGGTACGCCTGTGGCCTTCTTCTTGTCCTGTCTGTCGGTCCTGGGCAGGTGTCGGCGCACTTCTTCTGCAGGAGGTGCGGCGTGCACATCGTCCACGCCCCGGACTTCCCGCACGCCGCGGTCGCGGACGTGAACGTGCACTGCATCCACCCGGCCACCATCAAGAGCCTCGCGGTGGCGTTCCCACGAAGGGGAGGGGGGGAGCTTCCGGGGATAGGGGACCCGGTGGAGGGGATGTATGAGGTGCGTGAAGTACACAGTCGTCCCTCAGTTAAGGACACCATTGTAAAGGACACTATTTGTAAGGATGCTCCATTCGATATGAACACGTTTTTTTTCACAGGCATGGTGCCCCGCAGAATGTACAAACGCAAGGGGGGGTATCAATCTTAACAACACTTTTCCCCGGCATAAGGACACCTGTTTGAACGAAAAACCATGTGTCCTTAACCAAGAGATGACTGTAGTCTGGGGTCTCCCTTGCGTTTTGAGGGGGGTGACTTGGGTGGGTAGGGAAAAGAGACAGCTTTATTTATCACGCGTTTTGATCTCTTGGTGCCGCAGGAGAGCATCGATGTGATGATGTGATGATGTGATGGCGGCCCGATCTGATCGGCAGGGTGTGCAGCTCAGCTGTATGCGAAACGAGATTTGTCTCAGTTTATTTTAACATATGTTTGCGTCACGTACCCCGCGGGGTACGTGCAATCTCACTGCTATGTGGCACACAAAAAACTGTTGTAGGCTCTCTAGCAATGCTGTTCGTCGCCTCCGCGCCAGGCCCTCCGCTCCGGCCCCGCGTTCCTGTCGCCACCAGTCTCTCGCTTTGCTTGGCGACATTGCCCTTGAAACGCAAACCCATCACTCAACCTCCATCTGGGCCATGAAATTGTAACGAACGCCTTTTTTTTTTTTAGGTGGGGAGGGAATCGTGGTCGGACGCAGTACGAGAGCGGGTGAACGTTGCCCTACGAGATCACCAGCAGCAGCAGCAGTATCAGCACCGGTCTGTGGGGGGGACGGGGGCAACACCAACAGGCAGTAGCAGCAGCAGCAGCAGGGCGCTCTCGCCCCGACGTCGCTCGGCTTCGGACACGACGAGGAGGGGGGGGGGCTACGGCCAAGGTGGCCTGGGGCAAGGGGTTGGGGATGAGCGAGGGGCCTCGCGGGCGGAGGTCTTTGTGGGGGTCGGTGGGGGGGCGGCTTGCGGCGGCGTGAGTAGGGGAGCAGCTTCTGATTTTAACACTCGGCCGGGTGCGGAGGAGCGCGAGAGGGTGGGTGGACTACTTGACAGAACAGAGTTGTTTCCCCCGGGCTATAGTGCACACTTGTGTGATGGTGGGTGTTTTGTTTGAGGATTGTTGCCTATACGCAACAACACCTTCATAGTGGGCGGAGGGGTTCAGCTGAGGTCGAATGTTTTTTTGTGCAGCGTTCGCACGGCGGTATGAGATGAATCATGCTTTTGGTAACGTTACATAAGCGAGAACGATGGCAGCGTGCACTCCTTTAGAGTGCAGCCTCTTCGACCCAAGGTTTCGGCGACGCGGAAGGTTATAAGCCATGCGTACAATCGATCCGACTTTAGAACGAGCCTGAGGAAACCGAAGCCGCCGTGTGCCCTGGTTGTAGAATGTCATCGCTGGGAGTTTACGGGCGGTGATGTTTACCAGCTGTGTTCGGCACGATGCACAGCTGCTTTCAGCGCAGTGTGTATGGTGCGTGCCTTTCCGCCATCACGGGCGGCGCGTTTTCTGTTGCAATGAAAATAGGTCCTCTTAGCGTGTTGCTTTGTTTTGTTATGCTCTAGCGGTGAAGAACCCCAAAAACCCGACCATGTCTGCCTCCTGTACCGCTGTGTGGACGACTCGGTCAAGCTGTTCCCACCACAAACGAATGAAACACGTGTAGAATGCCAACTGCCTCGCAGTTCGAAATGTCCATCCATCCAACAACGGTTTTATCCTTTTGCTTGTGCACGCATACAGGCTCGACGGCACAGCAGTGGTACCGACAGCGGTGGAAGGCGCGGCAGCGGCAGCGGCGGTGGTGGCGGCGGGAGGGACACCTGGGGCGACGTGTTAATGCACGTAGCCTCGCTCCCTTCCTCCTCCTCCTCGACGTCAGCCTCGGCGGTGGGCACGGCGGGATCTTCTCTCTTGCCGCGCAAGCCTTCCTCCACCTCCACCAGGCAGCAGCCCCACTACCAACACCATCAGCAGCCGAACGGCGTCAGCAGCGGCGGCGGCTGGGGGTCGGGGACGTCGGATCTTCTCCTTCGCGCGGAGAGGGAGAGGCAGCAGCAGCAGCAGCAGCAGCAGCGGCGGTGGCAGCCGCAGCAACAGATCCCGCGGGGAGAGGGCGGGGGGGGCGAGCTTTCGCGAAGAGCCGGGGACGGGCGTCGCGCGGGCGCCCCGGGTACGAATAGTTGGGGCGTGAATGGGTACCCGGTGGGTGGAGGGGTTCCTGGGTCTGGAGGGCAACGACGAAGGTCGCGGTCTGGTAAGGGTTTTTGTCTGGTCATGTTTGTGGAGGGAGTTTTCAATATCACTCTGTGTGCGGTTTGTTCTAGGCTGAGGGCCGGCAGCTTTAAGATGGGCTGTTCACCGTTGAGCAGTTTTCAATCGGTCGATGGGAGGAACACGCTTGGTGCGGTAGAGTGCTGAGCGAGTCCTTCTGCAAGCACATTCGCGGCCCCGACTGCAGCCAGCAGCGCCGCATCTTTGTAAGCACCCCTCCCGTACACACGCTCCGCCACCCGTTATCGTCGCACCTGCTTTGAAGCGTGTCGGTAAAAAATATACATGCTGCGCGGGCGCTGATACCACACCTTTTAATGTTTTTCCGCCGCACGTGTTGTTGGGCGCAAATCAGTGTCGTCTGCCACATCAAGTTCGAAGAGGTACAGTGCAGGCACCACAACCGTTCCCGATCCGTTCCAGAAAATCACAGCAGTGACACAGTTTATCAAGCGCTCGAATGGTTAGCCGTCGGCGTTGGTGTAGCGTTGTGTTTTTTTCTACGACCTGTGGGATGCATCGCGAGACGAAGTGCAAGCCCCGAAACTCTCCCGTAAGAGAAAAAACCAAGTTCGTCTCTGATCCAAGCATTCCTTCTTCTAACCCCCCCCATGCAGTCGACTCGACCCCGGCGACCCCGCACGCTAGCACCGTCATTGCTAGCCCGGGGGCTGAAGGCGTAGCATCCAAGGACAGCGACGACGGAGAGGAGTCGTCCGGCGGCAGCCGGAGTTTCGCGTCCATGGTTGGCCGCGGCGGCGGCGGCGGTGCTGCTGCTACCTCCATCTTTGGGGTGGGGAAGGGAGGGAGCAACGGCGGGCAGAGCTATCAACAGAACGGCGGTGGCGGTGGCGGTGGCGGCCTTCTGAGACCGCCTTCGGCGATGACTGGGGGTTACGCCGCCGCACAGGCATGACTGACTTGGTGTGCGTGGCCTTTCGTTGGCTGTCCTCTTTCTTTTTGCATGGCCTTTGTGGGATTATCGCTGCGGTCGGCGCGATTGCCTGGCTGAGCCTAAATGTTGTGGCCGAGGGGAGTGCGTTGTTGTGCCCTCCGGCAACAAGTTGGTTTTGGGTGCGTTGACGGATAAATCTCTTGCGACTGGTAGCACCACTTCGGCGGAGCTTCTGATGGTAACAATTCCGAGAGCATCTTTTGACACAAGGGGAGGGACAGAACACAGCCGTTCGGGACTTGTTGCTCCTCAGCAAGTGTAGATTAAGTCAGGGGAGTAGACTGCACTGCAGCAGGTGTAGCATTACACATGGGTAGGCAAGCGGGGCGCGCCCCTTTCTTAATCTTGCGTGCTTTCTTCTCGGCGGCAGGTACTACGCTGGGTGGAAACAGCGGGCCGTTGGGACTGGGGATTGATTATTGTTAGTATTGGTTGTTGGGCCGTGCCCCTTGCAAGAAGGCACGGCGGCTGGGTGTTTACACAAGCGTGCCTTGCGAAAGCGTGTGTGCACCGGGGTTCTGTGTTGGAGCGCGTTTGTTCCTCCTCTGGGCGGAAGAAACGCATCGGGGGGGAAGTTTGTGTGTGCTAAATTTATACGGTTATTGCTGTACGTTGGTGTGTTAGTGTTGTGTCGTGGTGGTGTTGACCGGCCGATCACGCCACCAGACATATCCATGAAAATACGTGGTATATCTTTGTGTCTCAGCGGGGAGGGATTGTTGTCATGGTGGGTTGTTCTGTGTTATTTTTTTTCGGCCTTTTTTGGCCACAAAGTGGTTGTCACCGGTTACAATCAAAGATCTTGTTAACCCGGAGCTTCAACTCCAACGTTTACTAAGCTGTTGAACTGGGGAGGGCCGCGCTCTGCCTTCTGTATAGCAGTACATTAGAGGTGTATCATAGACGTCAAGCCAACGGTGTGTGGAGTCCACAATAAATACCACGTTCCGTCAAGTGAACGAAGGCTCAAGACATTCAGTGATGAGGTTGACTGCTGGCTACCAGTGTTTCAGGCTCGGGAACATACCACTACGCGAGCGAGGTCACGCACCCCATCCTGGCAGACGTACGGCAGTTTACCTGCCTTGCTTACACCCAAGCGCGTCACAACGCTATTGTAGGCGTCGATCCTCTTGCTCGCTTCCCCCACAATAATATCGTCGCGAGCTCGACCAACAGACATTCGGTCTAGTATTTTCCAAGATTGCAGCAAGGCGGATCGTGGAGTTACTTTTACGGCCACCCATCTCGTCGTTGCTCACGCGTCCGCACGAGATTGCGTGCTGTTGCTCGTGGAAACCACACCCAGTCCTGGAAAAAGATCACATCGATAGACCAACGATAAGTCTTAAACAAAAACGTCACCTCTACAATATCTTCAAAAATGTATCCTTTTCCTTTGAACATCGACTCCATAACATGGTCATACAAACAAATTCCCTCCAAACGGTCCATCCATTAATCGATTTTATTGCTTCGAGAGTCACCATCGCCAGCATCTACCGCCGCTTCCCCCACAGGGCCGTCCGCAACGCTCTCGGGCTTCCTCGACCCTCCCTCCCCCTCCGCCGGCGCGCCCCCTCTCGCGACCTCCATTACCCACCACAGCACGAAGAACGCGGCGTAATGCGCGGCGTTCACCGTCGGCCGCGCCAAGATCCCGAGGTAGCCGATCAGCTTGCCCCCGTAGGCGGGCGCCACCACCCCGCTCGCCGACGACAGCACGTTCAGGACGCCGAGCGCGGCCCCGAGGTCTCCCTGGGGCACCCGCTGCGTGAACATCGACTGCAGGCACGCCTGGAGGGTGCCGTGCGCTACCGTCCTCGCCGGGATGAGGAGGGCGAGGTAACCCCAGAACCCGATGATCGACGGAGCACCCTCGGCGAAGTTCATGAACGCCACAACGGCCAGCGACATGGCCACCAGATGGGTTTCCGAGCCCAAAGAAGCCAGACGGCCCACCACGTAAAGCTGGTCGTGTGCGTTTCACGGTAGTCAGGAGCGGTCGCGATTATGAGAGGAGGGGGAGGGTGCCAGGCAACGGACGGTACGTGTGTGAGAGAGTAGTTTTCTATTTTGTTCTCCACGAGGAACTCCTTTGAGAATCGTGTCCCAACTATTCCGTAGTGCCGTCACAGAGAAGCGATGAGATTGTCGTGCGATGCCACCGGAAAAAAATGGCTAGGAAAGCATGACAACATTGTGCTTGGTTCAGCCGAAGGAAGAAAAACTCGAGAGGAAGGAACGGCGGAGGAGGGGTGGGGGGTAGTACACCTCCTTTGTCCAAGACTCCAGGCACGAATCGCTCTCTCTCGCTCTCCCTCTCTCTCTTCTCTCCCCCCCCCTCGATGTGTGTGTGTGTCTATCTCTCTGTGTCTCCCAGGACGAGGAAAACGGAGGCTTTGGCAGCGTAGGTTTGACCGCTTGACCAGATATCCCCCCTTACCCACCTGCACGAGGAAACTCAGGCCCGCCGTATAAGAAGACATGTAGCCTCGACTCGCGCTCGCGACCCCAAACCTTTCCTCATAGTACCTGCTCGAGGCGATGACCGAGAGGGAGCGGCAACGAGCGACCGATTTTCGGGGGTCCTACGAGGGCTACTTGGAGATAGACACCGAAATCAGGTCCGAGTAGCCCTGTGATATGCGCCTTGACAAGGCCAACCACAAGTTTCAGGTTGGGTTGTAAACAAAATAAGGAACCGCCTTTGTCAAGGCAACGGGTGGATTCAACGCCTCATGGCTTACTCTCTTCCAGAAAACTTACGCCTAGTTGACATGCACGTGTTCTTGCCGTGCAGACAGGCGTCACCGCTGATCCCATCCAACTCATTTCGTCTACGCATCGTGGACCAAAAGTGGTATTGAATACGTTTTCCTGACATTTTACGCAAACACTGTCACTTACATGCGCACAGCATGAGGCGAAATCAAGGGCTCATAACTGTGGTTTTCGTCGCAATGGGGCCGAGAGCGAAGGGGTGGCCACAGAGCAAATCCAAAGCCCTGTGGCTACAATATCACATTGAATTACTTCGCCACTTGTGGTCAATGAAAAGCGTTGGTCACTGAAGTGTTCTACCAGAAGCAAAAAAACATCGGACCGAAATGGTTACACACGAACGTCGAAACTCACCCCACAAAATTCTGGGAGCCCAAGGCTCTAAAGAAGAAGTCAAATATCAACTTCGCCGCCAGGATGCGCAGGGTGGGACCGCTGCTACACGCCTTCTTGAAGTTGGCTAAGAACCGCCTGGTGGCGGAGGAGGAGGAGCTTGAATCCATCCCCCTCCCCGCGCTCTTCCCAGCACCGCCATCTAATGCGGGCGTTGCTGTTGTCAACGTGTCGTCCTTGTTGTCGCTACCATTCACGATGTCGTCGTCTTTCTTTTTCGCACCAGCAGCGGCATCGGTCCAGCTACCAACCTCCCTCCCGTTGCCGGACGGCAAAAGGATGAGAGCCAAGGCGGCGTTCAGCAGGAAGAGGGCACAAGCGACCTGTTCCACGCACCACAGCAAACGCGCGCAGCAAAAACGTGCCCAAGAAGGCGACACACGCGCTCTCTTCTTGGTGCCGTGCTTCAAACGTGACCTTGTTGGATGCGGTCTTCCATACTTACGCCTATCACAGTCAGCTGCAATCAAGCACTCCCCTTCCCCTACACCTTGCCTACACACGAACGCCGTCGAAGGCCTCACCAGCGGGGGGAGCGTCTTGCTTCTTTGATAGAGGAACGAACCGCAGGCCGTCCCCACGATGGAAGAGAAGGTCATGGCGGCCGTCAGCTTGGATAGTTCTGCCGAACGTTCCTCCTTAGCAGTGTGCTCGCTGACAATCGCGGTTGATATTGTCTGTGTCTGCGTGGGAATCAGGGCACAGGCGAGACGAATCACGGGAAGATGATGACAAGTGAGGCGATAATTTCGGGTGTTAAGAAGGAGCCGCACCCAAGCGTCCACCTGTCTTTCCGCGCACCGCCCTTTGGCTATCAGGCACAACAGCACGTCGAAGACAAGACTCCTCCGGCACACAGACAACACACCTGCTTCACCAGGCCGACCACCACCCTCCCCACCAGGAGCATGGTCAACGAGCTGGACAGGCCAATCGTGCCGTAGCTCAAGGCGCTGCCCAGGAAGGAAATGAGGAGCACGCTGCGGCGGGACAGAGCACGATCGCTCAGCGCTCCCAGAACCAAGCCCCCGACGATCTGGGACAGGCTGTAGGCGGAGGACATCAGCCCATACTGCTCCGTGCTGCGTTGGTGCAGGGAACAAGGTCAAACGCCAAGAGAAGGCCCTGCGCTGTCGGTGGGAGCAGGATGTGTTTGAATGTGCAGGGGGTGTGCGGTATCTTGACGGCGAGATGAAACAGGAGTTGCGGAATTCCACATTGTAGCAGCGACGCCCGACGAGCTACTACTTTTTTCTATTATTTTGGCACGGGAGGCATTCAAGCATGCGGTTCATTCCCAAACGCCGGCTGCCGGTTTTTAACGCACACGCTTTCATGAACGGACACGTGTGCCGTTGCTCGCGAGGCTTGTCGTGAAGGAGAGTAGGAGAGAGAGAGGAAGCACAACTCGAGAGCATCAGAGAAGGGGGTTTTGCTTCAGTTGGTGAGATGCGCAGCAGCGGTTAGCGTCGGCTCTCGGTCCGCTCACAGTTTGATTGCTTTTTGCAAGCGTCTCGCCAACGCCTGCCACGTGCTTGGCAATGCACAATTCCGACAGTTACCACACACATGTCCCGTGCTTGCTTTCCTGGGATGTCGACACGTGTCGCCTTCCTCGCGGGGAGACGGTTGGGCTGCCAACCACCAAACCACTGCCTTACGCCAAGACGGGCAACAACAGACTCACCGCCGCAGCTGCTACACGCTCGTGTGTGGAGGGCAGAGACAGAGGTAGACCGGTAGAGTACGCACGTGCGAGAAACAGGTCGACACGTGGCCACCTTCAGTAGTAGGACCAACTCCTGACTGGGATCAGAACGAAATCTTGACACGAGAGGAAAACAAATTCAAAAACATGGTATCAACACTATTTTAGTATGTGGCAGGACTTCGCACATCCACCCACCTGATGTTCAGATCTCTGAAGTACGAGGACAGTAGAGGAACCACTAGAGCGACGGAGAGCATGTCGACGAAGAGGAGAATCTGGATGGGACACCACACAGGCAGCACATCGCGCAACGGAGAGGGTTGTGGTGCCGGTTACATTAGTACGGCCGCAACGTCAAGATGAAGATTTCAGGCATGGGCTCCATGAAATACGCCTGCCCGTAGGATGCGAATCAGGAACTGCTGAGTTCAGTAGGGCTATCAAGCCATATTAGTGCTCCCAAGTGCTCCCATTGCGTGCGCCGGTTGCGGGTAAGGATGGAGAGATGGCTCGTGGCGAAGACGGCTGACGATAAGTACACATGCAGCGAGTCCTGCTGAGATACTCTGCGTATATCGCTGATCCCGCGGGACAACATGCCGCTGCCACTTCCCAAGCAAACCTGGTAAATCATAGACAAGACCAAACACCAGGCACTCCAACAAAACACCGCGGTCAAAACAGTATGGTTGCTATTCCACGGGAGGTGTGCTTTCGGCGTGACCTGTAAAACTACTGCTACTGTACCACTTGTAAACGCCGAAGTATGTGCCCGTTGACCAACAGCAGCAGTACCTAAATAGCGGTGATTCGCCCTCTCATGTACCTTGACAACATCCTTGATGTGGATTGCGGTGAGTGAAGAAGGCTTTCGTAAACCTTCAACACCTCCACGCTTCAGCATAGGCACCTCTTCCTCACTGGGGGCAAAGAAATCGCTTGTTGTACTGTCCGAAGGTATGGGTGAGGGTGTGTGCCGCGCACAAAATGGGAGTGTGTGTCATTGTTAACAAGCACAGCACAGGTCAGAACCAGCAGGAGGGCACGTGGATTGCAATCCCCCGCACCTATGCCACCCCCCCCCCGCCCCCCCCCGGTCGAATTTTTGGCTTACAGTCGAGATTTTGTCGATCTGTCGGATACACGACCTCATTGGTTGCTGAATGCTCTCTGGTGAAGTTCGTAGGCAGCGGGGGGGTGTGGGGGAGGCGATTTTGAGGCAGTTCGGGCTTGCCTTCGTCACCATGTAGGGGTATCGTCCCTTCTCCCGCAATGTGCGGGCGCTCTCGCGCACCTACAACAGCGTAGTATGTATAGTCTACATATGTATTCGTATATATATTATGTAGTCATACTACTGCTGTGATGATGCGGAAGCTCGACAGGCAGCAAGTAAGAAGTGTTGAGTGCATAGAGGTAGATAGTACGTACAGCAGCAAAGGCTTCAACAAGATCAGAAGTAAACAACCGGGGCTTCCACGTGCTGTTCGTACGTCGTTGGCTGTTGGAAGAGAGGCACGTCATAATATATGTACAAGAAGGAACTTAACCCATTTCTTTACTACCATTATATACTATACGGAGTATGACGTATAATAGAAGGACAAGAAACATCGTAGTCTCAGATTACAGTTATTATTATTTAGTACCAGTACTCGATTAGACAGCAATCTAGACTACTAATTGATTGGTCTACCAATATTTATTGGCTAAAA